TAGACAGAAGTGAACTTGCCAATCACTTTACCTGACTCTTCTTATTCACACCATGCGCTTTAGCCCGCCCAAAATCGCTAGCTAACTTATGCGGTTTCCGTTTTGTTCCTACTTTTCTCCTAGCTGAAATGAAAATGAGATGAAATGGAAATATGGAGAGGGTTAATGCGAAGGATTTCAAACTGACATATTCCTGCAAATTTGATCGCATTTAGCCTGTATTGTCTGCAGTTCGTGCCTATGTTGATGTTTGAGTCACGGCTAGTTGTCCCTGTCAGTAACAAGCACTTCCTATCAGGATAGTAGGAGATGGCTTCACAACTAAACAACATATCATTACATTTAACGACCCAGATTGTGGGTTATGTGTGTACATATGCTTGTGTATGCATTGATGTACTTGTATATATATATATATATATATATATGTGTATGTCTGCAGTATGTATGTGCGTGTGTTTAGTTGCTTATAAATGTGTGTTAAATATGTATTTTTTTAGATTTGGAATGAACCGGGACAAGCTTTGCACCTCACACTCTGGCACATTGCGGATATCTTAGGTCACTTCATCCAGAAAATTATTGATTGATTTTATTGTATTTTGGTCTGTTGCAGTTTTTGCCGTGAACTGCTGAAAACTTTCTCACGGAGTATTGCTATCATACCTTTATGAATACGGTCATCATAAAAGTCCTGATTTTATTGATTTATTGATTGTTCGCGGTTTTTACTCTAGATCGATGAGATTTGCTGCACAAGAGCTTGGAACAAAGCTGCTTTCGAATGTAATAGTCACCCCAGGAAAAATTAGATTATTCATTTACTGATTTTTGACAGTACTGCTCGTGGTTGCTGGAAATTGGTGCGCAAGAGTTCTCAACGTACTGATTACAACTGTGGTATCAAATTACAAAAATACTGTTTAATTTCAAAGACTTGTATGTCGCAGTTTTCGCTCTGATGTCAAAAATTAGTGCACAAGGGTTTGTGAACAAAATACGATTTTGACCAAATGTTAAAAGAAGTGCTTTTGCACTCACTGTT